ATTTTTTTACTCGACATATCTACGTACTTGTCATTTGAGCTTCTGGTGGAGAATTCGTCCCGATTCGTCTGAGGCTCCGAGCGAGTCTTCTTTGATGTGCGGATTAAAATAAGCGCACTGTGAAACGGCGGAGAGGAGAAAATACCATGAACTAGTGAAACAGGTTAGTAGAACACCGTAAGAACTAATTGTGAAAGGTTTACCATAACTCAACACAATAATAATTACCAATAAGTGAGAACGGGAGTCCCATATCTCCCTGCAAATTTCCTGCAGGGGGCCGTCCTAATTGTCGCAAGCCGATGCATTGCGAAAAAAAAAAAAAAGAGAGAAGACAAGATTTCCAGAGTTTTTTTTCCTAGGGGGTTTATCTCGTGCAACTCGGACTAGCCGCATACCTTCGTGCATTTTACAGCAAAATCATTTTTTAAATCACAACAGCAGTGGGCAACTTGTCTGCCGCCGCCTAGAACTCTGCAAACTCATTCGAGGCTACTAATAAAAGTACGTTTGAAAGGTACCTGCTACTCTATTAGTTTACAGGGTAGCTGATGACAATGAAGAAGTATGGCTATTAATTGAATTGGGATTTATTTCGAATATTCTCTCCTTGATAGCCTTTTCATAATGTCATTGTCGCCGAAGTATCTGTTCTGCTCTTGGAGGACTCTTAATCTGATCAATGCGGTTTTGATCGCAAATCTTTCAACCGGAAATTGGAATTTCTCCTAAAAATTTTATAATCAATTAGATTTACATTTAATATGTGCCCCTTCTAATTATGTTTCTTGGCCAATTTCTCAGAGTTGGTGTGAGCCATACACTTGGGCCATAATCATCTTCGTCACCATTATCACATTGTAATGTAACGACTCACTCGTTCTGCAATTCGTATTGTGTGAATCCTGCTTATTTCACTCTTCTAACACGCTATATTACGTGTAACGTGGTTCCTTCATGACATAACGCTTGCATAAGCTTTTTCTGCACAGGAGCATCTAGCATTGGCGTGGCTCTGAGCGCTGCCACGGAGAGAATGCAGATGCTAGCCCAATTTTATCCAGATATGTTTTCTCTGTTTTACAGCAAAACCATTAATGAGATCACAACAAAGGCAGATTAAGGTACCGTAGTTGCCCGCAACCAGCGATGTTCGTAACCAGCATCGCACAAAATGAGTAAGAAACGAAGTAAATAAAATACCGAGGTCACAATGGCAATCAAACCCGGGTCATCTCCGTGGCAGCCAAGAGCTCTACCACTGAGCCACGTCGGTGCTTCAATCTCCGTTGCAAACTGACCCTATATATGCGTGCGTCATGTCGGGTAAGAAATCGCGCTAACATGTCTAATAAAGCGTTTTAGAACAGTGAAGTATCAACCGGACGTCGCAGTATGCAAATCGCGTAACGAGTCGGCCATTCAGTGCTCCAACCTATTACATAAGCCTCAAGCACAATTCTTCGTCGTCGTCAGCCACAGCATCAACATATTGTCCGTAATGACAAATTCAAATATCTGTGTCTCTCTAGGTTATCTTTTTCGCATATTCTTTGGCCTCTTTTCTCTTTTTTATTCTTTCTTTATTCCGGGTAGTCTTCAGCCTGGAACCCCTGCGCGGAGCGGAAAATCGAGTCCGGGATATCTATCACGCGTCGAGGCACCGGTCCGGCGTTTCAATCACCGTCTGCTAGGGCTGGCGCGCGAGCTCAATTCCCTGCTAGAAAGTGCCAGCAATCGCTTGTATCCTTAAGCCACCATGACCAATGCAGCTCCATCGCACATGACACTTCAGTATTCTACGATTCCTGATTGCTTTCATGGTGAGACCTCTGAAGACGCTCAATACTGACTGGACCAGTTCGAACGCTGTGCGAACCGGGAAACAATCTTGACTACGTAGGGCGACTTCCGTGACCAGCTGGTTAGTGTTGTCTGAGCTGCTTGACACCTTTACTATAGTGTCGACAGAAAGGACAATGCGCAACGTCTTTTGGAAGCTCGAATTAAAAAAAAAAAACCCGAAACGAGAGCGTTGATATGTTCGCAAAAAACGTGACCCGTTTCTTTGTTGTTGTTTTTTTTTCGCAGGGAAGATCTCGAGATGCCCGAAGACAGGAAATTACGGTATCTAACGCAAGGAGTGAAGGAGCAGCTGTTTGTTGGGCTTGTGAGAAGTCCACCAACCACAGTAGCTGAATTCACGAAAGAAGCCACAGTGATTGAACAGGTCCTAAAATAACGGTACCGCCAGCGTAACCCGGTCAACTTTGTAGCGAGTAGTCTCGTTACGACTGCGGTGAGCCTCTGAGATAACGACAAGCCTCTGCGGGAAGTCATCCGGGAGATTTTGGCGAGAGGAGTTTCGGCAGCTCGAATTAATTCCAGTATACCAAACCGATGCCGGCATTTTCTTTTTGTTGCCGATGTTGTACGGGATGAAGTTCGTTAGGCTCTCTCTCCATCCGGTGATGTGCCACGACATCTTACTTATGCTGATGCAGTCCGACACCTTGTCGTCGCACATTCGGCACCGCCGACTCGAATGACTGGACCAACACCAACCCTGAAAACACAGCCACCGCTCTCGGCGCCACTTTCCCAACCCCTCCGATCTCGCGGGCAAGACGAATGCCGTATGGTCAACATGTGAACCTCACAACGTGGTTCAGTAGCAAGTCCCCGCTGACCGACCAGCGTCGATAACCGATTTGCGGCTTAGCGCTGACCATCGACCGGTACGCTTTGTGGCGATGCAGGAAACGTCTACAGAGTTTGCCGTTATCACGCCGCTCAGCACTCGAGATTTCCTTGCTATCCTGATTACGCTATGTATGACAGTCGACACATGTAGTACAGCCACGCTCCTGGGAACACACCGCTGCAGAACACAGCTACGCTCGGATCACGTTTTCCCTCTCCTGCGCGGGGTAGTTGATCTAATCATCGCAGTTTTGTCGACGTCACAAGGAGCAGGTCCCCTAGCCCGCGACGGGGAAACTAGACGCAGCGACCTCGGAGGATAGGGTTGCGAATAATTGAAATTCCGAACAGCGCCATTACAGACGAACGACAGCTCGAAACCACCGATGCCAAAGACAAGGACAGCAACGACAAATACGACGAATGAGACAACTGCTGACGTAACCGACGTTGTCGGCACTGACCTCACCGTTCACATTACGGCCACCAAGTGACGGCTGTTGTGGACACTGGCTCTCACTTTACTATAATAGGCCTACAGCTAGCCGGTCGATTAAGGAAGGAGAATAACAATAATAAGAGTAAGAATGGGGTGCAGCACATTAGGCAAGCATTCTCAAATCATGGCTGGTAGTTTATGACTTTCCCTCTAGAGGAAGGTGAAAAACAGCTGCATCTCGCCGATACCTACGAAGCAGAAACCTGGAGGCTTACAGAGAGGGTTCAGCTTACATTGAGGACGACGCAGCGAGCGATGGAAACGAAAATGATAGGGGTAAACTTAAGAGACAAGAAGATAGCACAGGGGGGTCATCAGGGGACAAACCGGGGTTAAGGATATGATAGTTGAAATCAAGAAGAAATGGACATGGGCCGGACACGTAGAGTGTAGGCAGGATAACCGCTGGTCATTAAGGGTAACTGTCTGGATTCCCAGAGAAGGCAAACGCACGAAAGGGAGAAGGGCAGATGAGATTAGGAAGTTTGCGGGTATAAAGTAGCAGCAGGAAGCGAATGTCCGAGTTCACTGGCAGAACATAGGAGAAGCCTTTGTCCTGCAGTGGGTGTAGTCAAGCGCTGATGATGATGACGATAATGACGAATACAAGACACAGCTTTTGGGATTCAAGAAAAGACTAAAAACGACAAAAATGCGAATAACCAGCATCACTCATGCATTAGTGATAACGCATAATTGCTAAGATTTCTTTGAAGTCGCATCAATTTATTTGAGTAGTATGTCCGTAATTGAGACGTGAAGTGCGTCAGATCACGACCATGTCGCTGTGTGGTGCCGTGCAGTCAGCGACTCCTTCTGCGTGGTGGTGGGCTGAGAGCATGCCAGCCGTCGTTGTTTCTGAAAAGAAAGGGGACCATTAGGAATGTTTAAGTAAATTATCAGCTTTTACGAATAAAACCATGTTTTACAAACGACACCGTCGTACGCTCTCAGGAATAATTATGACCACATGGGGATCTCTAACGTGGACGTAAATTTAAGTGAATGGGTGTTTTCACTTTTCGCTGCAATGGCAACGCGGCTACAGTGACCGGAAGTCGAGCCTGCATCCTCGTTCTTAGCAGTGAAACACCTTAGCACGTAAAATGCTCCGAAAGGTACAAAAAGATTGTCTTTACATCCTTGGCATAGACCAGCAGCAACACCCTCGTGTGCGTGACACCAAGTCGCATGGTTTAGCAAATGGTGGGGTTAGTGAAAATGCAGTATTTCCTTTGTCGGCCACCTTTTAGGGTAGTTGCTCTTCTGCTGAAACGTAACACATTTTCTTCACAAATATCTTCAAGATATGTTTCATTCACATTTAGAATTTTTAAAAATTGATGCATGTTTGTAAGCAATTAGCTCACACTCAAAATGCAACAGGTTTTCTCTGTTCACAGATGTTGCCTCAGCTTGTCGACTGTGCTGAACTACGTCAAGTTATGTAGAAAATGAAGGCTGGGTGCTCTGTAAACCGTATTAAAATAACGTGAGACCTAAAAACTAAGAGGCTCCGAGAGGAAAAGCCTGAAAACAGCACATCAGCCTGATTGCCGCTCCCCCCTTCCCCCCTTTTAAGAAAAGCTTGAACATCGGCTTTTCGGCCGTGTGAAGTAGCTGTCGGGTTTACGAAACTTGGTCCGGGGTTGTTGGAAGAATCCTCGTAGTGACCTAGGTATCACTCTAAACCAAACCTGCAATATTCCGGAAGCTTCAACAAGGTAATGTACATATTTCGCAGAGGCTAAAGCCGAGACGCCCCTGTACCTTCCGATCGTGCAGGGTACGGCGGGGGCTATCTCGGCAGGTCGTAGCGTACTCGTGGAAGCTCCACGTCCTGACCACTGGCGTCTTGACACTTGAGGTCAAACACCAAGAAGCGCTTGTCTGGGTCGATCTCTTTTTGGGACACCACCTCCACCAGCTCGCTCATGCTGCGGAGATGGGACGAAAACAGCAAGGGTTGATGAGCACGAGCCGCTGTTAACTAGAGCGTATATGCACTGCTATTTATGCACGCCTTATTGGACAATACTTTGATTGAACCCTACAAAGCGCGTAAGTTCGAACATAGGCAGACTGGAGAGGTTCGTGGGCGTTTCCTCTAGTACGGCCATGAAAATGCATCGTCTCTCACTCTCTCTGGCAGCTAACGTTAGTCCTTGATAGAATAAATGCGGCGCGCCGCGCACAAAACGTGTAATCATCGGCGTCCCACCTTAATGAACGCTGTGTGAGCACTATCAATACCGTTTTACAAGGAACTTAATATCGACGCGATGTGCTGGCATAAAGCGAGGGATCATGGGAAGAGGGTGATTTATTCGTGAGCGACTCCTTGTCCTATTTAATGCCTCTTTCATTAGGATTTTAATCCGAATCGAACAGGATAATGCACATGCTGGCACAAAAACGTTTTTATTTTTTTTACTAAACCGCCGCTGGTAGCGCATGCATCAAGAGCTTGGCAGCTTCTTTTTTTCACCACAAAATCTTTCACGAAAAGGTGGTTGGTTAGTCGTGTGGCTGTTCTCCACCAAGAACGCCTGCTCAATGTTGCATCAACAACATAGCAATATTTGCTGCCATAATAGAGAATTTCGTAATGGGTTGCGCAAAGCTCTGCGTTGAAAAGACACTAAAGAGCAAAGTAATTTTTTGCGTATTATTGAAGTACAATTTCACAATCTCGATGACCTCACTCTTATACCGCAACTCGACGCTTATAATGTAACGCGTGGACAGCAAATGCGGGTGGCGACGCTACCTTGAGATTCACGCACCAAACACCGAGACGTATGGAACTTTGAAAGTGTCTACTGGGCCCAAGGAGGATTAAAGAAAAAATTGCTAGAGCGGAACCTCCCGCAATGCCTTGCCAGCAGAAGTGAAGCCACCTTTTGCCACTGCCAAGATGGCGGAAACATGTTCTTTTCTGATAGTGCCCACTTAAAGATCAAGTGGCTTTGATGTTTTATGTAAATGCTACGTTAGTTCTATATTAAAAGATAGTTGTTCCCGACAAAATAACACGCAGGAACGAGTATGGATAACTGAATCTTCAAAGAACTTTGCCTCCAATTATGGGCTCACTAAGGGAAACTAGTAACTCTAAAAAGCACTTGGAGCACTATGTGACCTGAGAAAGTTCCCACATTAAACTCGTTGGGCGTGTGAGGAAAACGCTTCGTTTTAAATCGCTGAACGGTGATAACTTGTCATGCCCTCAGTAAGATGGCCGCCACAGCCACCATCTTGCCAGAGGAACGGCTTCACTTCTGCGCAATCATTTCCACTCCAGCAATTTTTAAAATCCTCCTTGACTGGGTCCTAAGTAGCTTCCGATCGATAGAAATGACGTACATTATAATCTGTGGGTGCCATAGGCGTAGCATAGGAAGTTTCAAAAAACTAGATCGAGCCAATGCCACGAAAGTACCGAAAATACGTTTTAAAATTTTCTACTACACGCGTGAAAATTTCGGCGCAAAATTTAAAAATGAAACTTCAACCTTGATTGTTTTTATGGTAATAACGAACATGTGATAGTGAAACATGTGGCACTGGAATTCTCAGAGTGCAGTTTGCCAATCTAAACGAAATCAATGTTCCTCTTTACTGTCACTTTAACCTTAGTAGCCACTGCGCAATCGTCATACGCTATCGTCTCGCAAAGGAATGAAAGTAACGTATCGTACCCCCTTCTTGATCGTACCACACCAATGCTCTCTTAGCACACCCTATTCTAAACCTGTCTTTCATAGCGATAGAGCACGCCCAAAAATAAATAAATAAAACAGAAGATAAAACAGGGGCTCGCGCCTACCCCGTCTTCTCTGTGTTCATTTCTTCGTATAGTTGTGCTTGAGCGCTGCGATTTGTCACTTAGCAAACATAAACTTGCTCAGCAACGCGTTAATGAGAAATAACGATATTAGTTCTTCGTATCTCTTTTGCTCATCTGCTTTATGTTTGTCATAGTAGAGTTTCTGAGAATACAGCACTGAATAAAAGAGCAATATTTAGGGTGAAAAAAAAAGGAAAACTCGTGCAGCTTCGCAATACCCATAGGTCTGCGACCTTACTCTGAATCACTCAGATATTGGGCCGCAAGTCTAACCCCCTTATTCTAGAACGTCCCTTCACTCTACGCTTCACCTTCACTTGAGAAAGCCATCTAGAAGCACGACAAGTCGCTGTATATCTGCGATAATCTGCTGCAATTCTTGAGTAGCAGAGCGTCATTTTCAGCCGGCGTTTTCAGCCGTCATTTTCAGTGGCGGAGTGTTCAACTCTGTCAAGTGAAGGGTGAAAGTCGAGTTGAGGAGAGTTTCTGAATACGGGGGTAAAAGTGCGAGTGAATCCGGATAAGTAAGAACATTTTGGTGAGTATGAGTCTGAGTGAGTTCGATTGAAGAAAATTTTCGTGAGTGTGATTTCGAGTGAGCCTTAAACGCAAAATATATTTCATGATTTAGTCTGAATCAGCTATGTTTTGCCGACCTATGGCTATACCTTCAACTTGCTCGCTTAATAAAATAGTAATATTGTAGCGGGTGCAAGAGAGGAAAAATCAAAAACTAGTTTATTATGGGCGAACTTGTGCCCTGAAAATTATGTGCGAAAAGATGGAAGAGTCAACTAGAGCGTTCCAAAAACAAAAACTGTTTCTCTGCCCACGGACCTTCTTCTTCTTCGCAGCTCCAAACCACACTGGCTCGCGCCTGTGAACAAGAGGCATGAGTCGTGCGGCCCCAAGCAAGAGTGCGCACAAGACTGTGGACGCTGATTTTTCATAATGTCGGATATTGTAAACAGTTTCTGTGGCAATATGTTGATGTGCATATAGCAAGTTTATTTTCATGCATCTAGTGCTCGGTTCTGAGCGCAACCACGCGCTATAAGCGGGTCCGTTTTACAAGGTGAAAAAAAAAGGTAATTCCACTCACGATAGTTCTAGGTGACTAGCGAGCGACGGCAGAGAAGTGACATACAGTGTTCGGCCTCTTTCGGATAGCTCGACGATGTTGACCTTGTACTTGTTCTGCGGCAATATGAAATATAATAAGTGAGAATTAAGAACTTTGTAAACAACAATAACTTTTCTCGAAACGCTTGAACAAGCGTCACCAATAGTTCCCCAGTGGACTAAGAGGCTTGCTTCCTTCAACCTCCTTTTAAACACTTAGGTAGTACTTCTGCATGTTGGAAAATCTATGTAAATTAAACTTGTGACTGCAGCGCTACAGGTGAAGGCGTACGCCACCTGGTGCTAAAAAAATGACACTTAGAAACAACGGCGTGATCATGAGTCAACCTGTACAGTGGACGGCTCCGAAAATTTCGACTTCTTCATCAACGCGTGCCCTATAACAACGTACAACCCACGGACTCGGCGAATTCGCCTCCATCAAAATGCGACCGCTGCTGTCGGGATCGTATGCGTGACGCACCGGTCGGAAGCACACAAATAAGAGCACGTCATAGGCATGTTGTCGAGGTGTTTTATTGCGATAGCAATTATATGGACACTCTCGGCTGGATTTTGCCGTCGGTGTCGATGTCATGTACCGTATATGTCTACGTATCTGTGTATATGAAAACGCAAAAAAGAAAAAAATCCAGAAAAAATTGGCCCCGTATCTGCATGTTGTACTGAAAATGTCGTCAAAAGACGACAGTCTTGCATTTGGAGAGAGTGAACAGAACATTTATTTGATGTTCTGCGCCAGAAAATTGGTGAATGGCATTCTGGAGGCGCTGTGTTAGAGTGCCTCGAGCGTGCAGCGGTGGCGAACGAGCGCATCAAGTCACGTCACACGTGAGACATGAGTTCCATCTGGCAGTTTTCTTGGAAAACATTGCGCGTTCGACACGGGCGTGCGCGCCCGTCTTGATCAGAGGTGATAAGGTGTAGAACGCAAAACGACGGGTAGGTGCCACCACCATGTCTTCTTAGCAAAGCGCTGGAAACACTCGCCTTTTCGTGCAAGCGTTGCATGGTCAGCGCAGCTGGATAAACGCTACGGTCCTTAGAATTACTTATGTATGCTTTTGTAGTAAAAGACGTACATTCAGATCATATACGCGTTGTTATGGTGTCTCAGATATGTGCAACTATTGCTTTTAGATGCGGAGCATCTTATACTCGCGCCTTGTAGTGCGCCGTCCACGCCGTCCGCACCGCTTCTCGAACATTCGACAGCTGACGCGCGCGCATGCGCCGTCGCGCCGTCGCCCACTCTTCCACCATCTGTGCATCCCTTCCTCCTCTACACACCGCGCGTGCTTCACTCCTCCACCATCTGTGCACCCTTCCTCCTCTACACACCGCGTTCGACATCTACAATTCTCCTGATTCTCCAGTGGACGCGCATGTGGCGTCGCGCTTCGAGAACATTCAACAGCTGACAGTGCATGCGCCGTCGAGCTGTATATATACTCAAGGTCGGCGCTCGCTCGCTCAGTTGCCGCTCGTCGGTTGGTTTGTACGGCGCGTCGACGTCCAAGGTCGCGGTGAAATGAATTCCAACGAATCCACAAACACAATGATCGACGTCCCTTCGACCAGCGCCGCCCTTTCGCATACGTGTGTACGTGTTCACTCATTTAACACCCCCTCCTACAACCACGTTAACCAATTTAGCCATCGACCCAAGTAAGTCGCAATTTAACACCCCATTTCACAACCACCTTAACCAATTTAGCCATCGACCCAAGTAAGTCGCACTTTAACACCCCGTTAACCAATTATATGCTCCGCATCCTCCTCAGTGTTCCCCCGAGGGAAGCTGCGGGCAATTTTTTTTAATCGACAATCGCACAAGTACGAACGCTGAATTTTGAGCAACATTGGTGAGCGCTGCAGATGGGGTCGGCCGTTCGGGGTATCGGCTGGTGCCATTTAGAGTACCCAGTACCGTTAAGAACAAAATAGAGACAAAATAGAACTGGCAGAGCTTTCGAAGTTGATTAACAGACGTAAAGTATGCGATGTAAGAAGGTATAACATGGAGAGAATTGAACACGCTCTGAAAAACGGAGGAAGTGTCAAAGCATTGAAGAGGAAACTTGCGATAGGCAAAAGTCGGATGTATGCACTAAGGGACAAAGAAGGCAAAATAACTACCAATATGGATAGGATAGTTAAGATAGCGGAGGAGTTTTACAGGGATCTGTACAGTAGCCGAGACAACCACGACCTTAATACTATAAGAACTAGCAGTAACCCAGATTACACCCCACCAGTAACGATAGAAGAAGTCAGAAAAGCTTTGGAGAGCATGCAAAGGGGCAAAGCTGCTGGTGAGGATCAGGTAACATCAGATCTGCTGAAAGATGGAGGACAGATTGTGTTAGAAAAACTAGCCACCCTGTTTACGAGGTGTCTCCTGACGGGAAGAGTACCAGAGTCTTGGAAGAACGCTAACATCATCTTAATACATAAGAAAGGAGATGACAAGGACTTGAAGAATTACAGGCCGATCAGCTTGCTCTCTGTAGTATACAAGCTATTTACAAAGGTAATTGCTAACAGAGTAAAGAAAACATTAGAATTCAATCAACCAAAGGAACAAGCAGGATTTCGAACAGGCTACTCAACAATTGACCACATTCATACTATCAATCAGGTAATAGAGAAATGCTCAGAGTATAAACAACCACTATACATAGCCGTCATAGATTACGAGAAGGCGTTTGATTCAGTAGAAATATCAGCCGTCATGCAAACACTGCGGAATCAGGGCGTAGATGAAGTATATATAAACATTCTGGAAGAAATCTACAGGGGATCAACTGCTACCATAGTGCTTCATAGAGAAAGCAACAGAATACCAATCAAGAAGGGTGTAAGGCAGGGGGACACAATTTCCCCAATGCTGTTTACCGCGTGCTTACAGGAGGTTTTCAGAAGCCTAGAATGGGAATAGTTAGGGATAAGAGTCAATGGAGAATACCTTAGTAACCTGCGCTTCGCCGATGACATTGCATTGCTGAGTGACTCGGGGGACGAATTGCAACTCATGATTACGGAGTTAGACAAGGAGAGCAGAAAAGTGGGTCTTAAAATTAATCTGCAGAAAACGAAAGTAATGTACAACAACCTCGGCAAAGAGCAGCGCTTCGAGATAGGTAATAGTGCACTTGAAGTTGTAAAAGACTATGTCTACTTAGGGCAGGTAATAACCGCAGAGCCGAACCACGAGATTGAAGTAACTAGAAGAATAAGAATGGGGTGGAGCACATTCGGCAAGCACTCTCAAATTATGACAGGTAGATTGCCACTATCCCTCAAGAGGAAGGTATATAACAGCTGTATCTTGCCGGTACTTAGCTACGGAGCAGAAACCTGGAGACTTACAAAGAGGGTTCAGCTTAAATTGAGGACGACGGAGCGAGCAATGGAAAGAAAAATGGTAGGTGTAACCTTAAGAGACAAGAAGAGAGCAGAGTGGATTAGGGAACAAACGGGGGTTAAGGATATCATAGCTGAATTCAAGAAGAAGCAATGGACATGGGCAGGGCATGTAGCGCGTAGACAGGATAACCGCTGGTCATTAAGGGTAACTGACTGGATTCCCAGAGAAAGGAAGCGGGTTAGGGGGAGACAGAAGGTTAGGTGGGCAGATGAGATTAAGAAGTTTGCGGGTATAAATTGGAAGCAGCAAGCACAGGACCGGGTTAACTGGCGGAACATGGGAGAGGCCTTTGTCCTGCAGTGGACGTAGTCAGGCTGATGATGATGATGATTATGATGATGATGATGATGTTAGTAAACCGAGTTGTCTGCAAGCCTGATTGGACTGACAGAAGTGCAGTGTCATTTGATTAATTGGTGCAGACGCCAGCCAAGCTTCTGCGCTGAAAATGTGTTTATTGAAAGGCTTGAAAACGAGTTGGCTCGGCTACATAGATTTAGTTACTTTTACTTTCGACGTGCAGTTCAAATGATGTCTAGTAATTATAGGCTGCTTCTTGCTCATGAAATTCTTGAAGCTGTGGTTTGAAAATTTGATTGATTGATTGATTGATATGTGGGGTTTAACGTCCCAAAACCACTATATGATTATGAGAGAGGCCGTAGTGGAGGGCTCCGGAAATTTCGACCACCTGGGGTTCTTTAACGTGCACCCAAATCTGAGTACACGGGCCTACAACATTTCCGCCTCCATCGGAAATGCAGCCGCCGCAGCCGGGAATCGATCCCGCGACCTGCGGGTGAGCAGCCGAGTACCTTAGCCACTAGACCACCGTGGCGGGGCTTTGAAAATTTGTGAATCTTTACTTCTAATAGTGTCACTCGAGTACACGTGATGGACTAAGTGCTTTTAAAAATATTACCGAAAATGCTGATGGAGCCAGCGTTTTGACAAGTGAACTTTGCTTCTTCAAGACAACGCTGTTGCCCGGACGAAGACAAGTCAGCTTTGCCAAAACACTGTTTCCAGCGACGTTCTTTTTCGAAAAACTTTTGATCCCTTCAAGCCGCACCATGTCTCTCAACTTCAGTCTTGTTTGGTACTCAGGTTATGTAAGAAAGTTATGTGCACCGTCATAACAAACGTGATTGAGTCAAATACGACGTATTCTACTCGCGATTGTTAATTTTCGCTTTTGTTCAAATATTCTGGGTTCAGCGTTTGTTTCAGTTGTAAGTTAAAGCTGCTTTTATAGATTGACGCTTTCACGCAGCGTATGTCACAAGCTCAAAAAAGTTCCTTTTATTTGCGCCGATAGAGTTACGTCTTACAGAGAAATCGGTCAGCTTAACTTTCGCCTCTTCAGAAAACACGAACAAAACTACGAAAAAAGTCACAGCTTTGCCGCAAAGGCGAAGCAATGAACGTGATAGCAATAATTTGAAAGATCACGCGCAGAATAGAAAGCAGATCGAAACGTGCCCAGCGTTTCTCGTGCACAAATTACACACGAAACGTACTCACGAAACGTACGGATGCACGCGAATAAGCGTCTTATTTGTTACTTCACCGAGTCTGAAAAGCGTGCGCTTTTCGCGAACGGTGGCTGCAATGGTTGCAGTGA